ACCATATGGAACAGCTGTAGTTTGTCACCCGGAGTCACTGTGAGTCAGGATCAGTTACTTTGGAAAACCATGTGGGTATAGTTGACTTTTCAGAGAGGTGAAACAGGGCAACTCAGGGCTGAAACATACTGACTAGAAGGAAGTCTGCTCATCATTGATCAGATCTGGGGGTGTTCAGAGGTAAGCCACTCCCCAGGGACCTCTGGAAGGTGGTAGGTCCGTGTGGAGTGCAGTTCAGCATTTTCAAACATCTCAAGAGCCCCTGGAGTCCTGTGGGTTAATGCGCTGGACTGCAGAGTCACCTTGAACTGCAAGGTTGGTGGTTCAAGCTCACCAGCCACTCTGTGAAAACCCTATACAGGCTCACTCTGGGTCAGAACTGACTCAACATCACTTCACAACAACATGAGTCCCTAGTTGGGATGGCCACCCACGGAGTAGTTAAGATGGAAGTTCTGCCCACAGCCCTTTCTTTTCTGCTTTGCAGGGGAAGTGATGGATGGGCTTGTCTTAAACGGCAATTCAGCTCAAAGGAATGCTGATCCGGGTTGGGAGGTCCAGTGCGGTGGAGGAGGGCCAGTTGCAAGGATTTGTTTTTTGACCTTTTTTCCAAAGGCTTCCCAGACACTGGCTGTTATAGGGGGGGGGGGGGGGGCTGCGGAGTGGGGCTCCCCCACTTCTGGGACTCTTTCAGTCTAGGCAGCTTGTCAGCATTCTGGTTCCCTTAAGATCATGGCGTTTCTGATTCCACCGTTGTTACCCTTGCAACTCTTTTTCACTTCCACATTTATGTGTTTTCTCTCTAACATAAGTAAAAACACTTCCCAAACACTTCTCCCAGGGACTGACAAGACTTACCTCTGAAAGATGGGGTGGGGCCAGCCCTGGAGGAAAACAAAGAGAAAGAGGAACCTGTCTGGCCAGGCGAGGACGCCCTTAAGCGGCAGGATCTTGAGTGAAGCCCTGAATGGCGTTTGGAGGGAGGCCATGACCACAACTGCCAGTGGACACTGAGGAGATGGGAGTGGAATTCTCCGGAAGCCTGGAGGAGCAGGCCAGCCTCCTGGCCCCTTCCAAAGGCAGAGGGTGGGCGCCCCCTGCTGGAGATCCCGAGTGTTCCTACGAAGGGTGGAGTAGCAAACACTTCCCACCTGGAAAGAGGGAACCTCAAACTGTTCTGGAAAGATGCCCTTAAAAGATAGTGGATTTTTTCCAGGAACGTTTTGAAGTCCCCTCAGTCCTCTTGAATGACCTCAGGCAGACTGATGTCCAGTTGACCCGGAGCAATGTGCTGCTGGGCTTTGGGGTGTTCACTGGCTGATATCGGGAAGTTGATCCAAAAATCCAACCCATTGCTGTGAATTGGATTCCCCCCTATACGGACCCTGTAGGACAGGACCAGACTGCGTCGTCTTAGGGTTTCCGAGGCTGTAAATCTTTACGGGGACAGATTGCCTCGTCTTCCTCTGGTGGAGCTGCTGGCCGGTTTGATCAGCTGACCTGCTGGTTAGTAGCCAAGCTCCTTACCCATTGTGCCACCAGGATCCCTAAAATCAGTTCGCCAGGCTGTTCCCAGTGGTTCATCTAGGAAGAAAGGCACACGCTATTGACCCTCCATGAGGACTGGCAGGTACAAGGGGGTGGGGGGGGAGGCAGTCTTCTGTTAGAAGAGGATTTGGGGACCTACAGCTTCCAGGATGGAGAAAGGGAGCAGGGTGAAGGAACCCCATCAGATAAGTCTGGCTAGTGGGGAAGGACCAGGAGACAGCCAGCTCTCCTAGTTCCCATGTTTACCGTGTGTGCTAGAAAACAGAGCCTGCTAGGAGAGAGCCGGAAATGCCAGGAAACAGTGCAGGAGGGGACAAGCCCTTTTTGGCACACCTGATAAGCATTTGGCTGCTAACTGAAAGGTGGGTGGTTTAAACTGACCTGGGGGCTCCCAGGAAGCAAGGCCTGGCCATGGGGCAGCTCTGCTCTGTCACGTGGGTCACTGTGTGTTGAAATGGACTTGACAGCCCCCGACGGCCACAGCCTAGTCCACAGCTTTCACTGAGCTCTTCAGGTCCTTCCCCTAGGAACGTCTGTGGTGACTCAATGGCTTCGTGAGTCGCCTCTTACAAGTGAAGGGCGGTTCATCTTGGATCTCATCTTTCAGCTTGCGTTTAGCTTTTGTGCAGGAACTTGAATTGAGAACTATCTGTCTCCATAACAGCTTTTGTGAAAACAGATCTCAGTCTCCCTCCCGGAACTAACCATTTCTTGGGCTTCGGGCTGAGTTTTAGTGTTTTTTCTTTTTCTGTTTCAACTTATTTCTGTATGGGTCTTTAAACTTGTAACAGTAAGGTTAAGTCACCAAGTTAACTATAAATAAATAGGATGAGCCATTCATCCTTTGGTGGTGTTATATCAGAGGATAACATTTGGTGGGGAGGGATTCTCTGTATCAGGGCGAGAGCTGAGAGGACCTGTGGGGCCGGCTGGGACCACATGGGAAGGCACGTAGGACGCGCAGGGAGGCTGGGTTTCATGGGAGAGACTGCGAGGCAGGTGTGTGTCTCCATGTGTACATGGAAGAGCCAGCTGAGGGAACCCACCGGAGTGATGGATGATGGTCCCACAGGGCATCCATGGATGCAGCCTCTCTTTTACTGAACACCTGCCTCCTTCTTCAACACTTAGTCTCCTTACCACCTGGATGCTGGCGCCGATCTGTGAATACCGCTCACACTTGGCGCAATGTCTTTGCAGCACCTTGGATCATGAGCCCAGCCTCTGCCCCTTTGTCCACGTAGGCCTGGGTCCTATGGCCTTCAATCCCAAACTCCACCCCCACAGCATTTCTGAATGATCTGTTTAATTGGAAAATTGAGTACACATTTACAGTTATTTATTTAGCTAAAATTTGTAAAAATTCCTTGTTGTTAGGTGCCATCCAGTGAGTTGTGATTCGTAGTGATCTTGTACACAGCAGAATGAAACCCGGCCTGGTCCTACACCATCCTTACAATTGTTGGGTCTGAGTCCACTGTTGCGGATACGGTCCCTAATTTTTCATCTGCTTGAGAGTCATCCTTGTATTCATTGACCCTCTAACCAAGCATGATGTCCTTCTCCAGGCAACGGTCCCTCCCTATGACACGCCCAGAGTACACGAGAAGAAGTGTCACTGCGCTCGCTTCCTAAAGACACTGCGGTTGTACTTCTTCCGAGACGGATTTCTTTCTTTTCTGGCAGTTCCTGGTACAGTCAGCATTCTTTGTGAACACCGTAATTCAAAGGCATCAGTTCGTCTTTGGTCTTCTTCTTCATTGTCCAGCTTCTGCATGCAAGGTGACTGGAAATGCTTCTTCTTGTTGTTGTTAAGTGCCGTCAAGTCGATTCCGATTCATAGCAACCCTGTGTAGGGTTTCCAAGGAGCAGCTGGTGGTTTTGAACTGCCGACCTTGTGGTTTGCAGTCCAATGCTGAATCTGCAGTGCCACACCAGGAATTGTCAATAATTAGTCTTTAAATTTTTGATTTCTAATAAAAGAAACAGCCACTTGTTCATTGATTTGAAGCTTTGTTGATGTCACTTTAACTTGTATCAGAACTCCATGTGCTAAACATCTGTATCTGTATGTAGTTTACTTTTATTGTTGTAAAAGACAGGGCATACACTTCCCATTTTAGTGATTTTCAGTGATGTTACCATGTCCTATGACATGATCACTATCCATTTCAAAACTGTCATCATTCCAGAACAGAAATTCACTACTCTCTTAAGCGGTAACTCAGTGGAGCCCTGATGACCCTGTTGGTTGGACTTTGAGCTGCTCACCACAAGATCGGCAGTTCAGAGCCATCCATTACCCCGTGAGAGAAGGATGAGGCTGGCAGCTCCAGTAAAGATTGGCAGTCTCGGAAACCCTCTACATTTCATAGGGTCTCTGAGTCAGAATTGACTCAGTGGGTTTGTTTTTGGTAAGCAGTAACTCAGTGACCCCTGGTGACACAAGCATTGGGCTATGCTAAATCAATGGTCAGTGGTTTGAGGTGGTTTGAACCCACCAGCCACTCCATGGGAGAGAGACGCTGCAGTTTGCTTCTGTAAAGATTGATAGCCTCGGAAACACTAGGGGCAGTTCGCCTCTGCCCTGTGTGGCCGTTATGAGTTGCAGTAGACTTGCACTTGGACAGCTATGGGTTTGGGGGAGCAATAACCCCCACTTACCCCCCCACCTGTCCCTGGTCACTATGGATCTCTTTTCCATGCCTTGTCTCTTCTAGACAGTCTTTGCATTCTCTAGAGAGATTCAACCAGTGAGACTCAGATATAGATGGGAGACACTTTCCTAAGGAAATGGTTCACACAGCTATGGGGGCTGGGGAATTGCAGCTCCTTAGGTGTGGGATCAGAGAGCGAATTGAGCCAGAATGTTGTGTCTAAAGGGTGTACATCCAGGGAACTCCCTTTTAATGGTTTGATTGATCACAGCTCATTAGAGTGTCGCATGGAAAGTAATCACCTCACGTCAGCTCAGCTCACACTACAGAACAGCAACCAGACTAGAGTTTGGTCAAACCCTTGGGAACCACAGCCCAGCCAAATGATCACACAAAACGCACCATTACACAGATGTTTCATATAAACGGGATTGTGTGATATTTGCCCTTTTGTGTCTGCCTTATGCCCATCAGCACCTGTTTTCCTGGTTTGCTCCTTTCAGAACTTCACTTCGAAGTGGGGCAGGGTCTGTAAGATGGCTACCGGGGCTCCCTGTCCAGGCTGGTGTTTCCTGGTTTGAGTGGAAGCTTTGCTTATGTGACTGCCACCTTCTCTCTTACAGGTGCCCATGCCCTTGGCCACGCCCTTGGCCACGCCCTCCACTTAGAACATGCTGGAACACAGCCACCCCTCTGGCCGCTGGGACACAACACGTACCTTGACAATGGAGAGATAGGGCCGTCCCTGAAGGAGTGCCCGAGGAAGCTCCCGCACGTGCCTTCTTAGCCTGCGCCATGGAGCGGAACCGAGACCCAGAGACGGAGCTGCCGCGGGGCCCCGAGGGGGACGGGGACAAGACTCTGTACCATAGCTGCTGCATCTGCGCCAAGAGCTTCCCCTTCCAGAGCTCCCTGTCGCAGCACATGCGCAAGCACACTGGGGAAAAGCCATACAAGTGTCCCTACTGTGACCACAGGGCCTCCCAGAAGGGTAACCTCAAGATTCATATCCGCAGCCACCGCACAGGGACCCTGGTGCAGGGCCACGAGCCCGAGGCGGGTGAGGCCCCACTGGGTGAGCTGCGCGCGTCCGAAGGCCTGGACACGTGCGCCAGCCCCACCAAAAGCACGTCGGCCTGCAACCGCATCCTGAATGGGGCCTCGCAGAGCGATGGTGACCCTGGTGGCAAGATTCTGCTGCGGAGCAGCCGCAAGGAGGCCGATGTGACTGGGGGCGAGGGGAGCCCCTGCTGCCCGGGCGCCCAGGAGCAACCCCTGCTGCCTGCCCCACGGCCCTTCAAGTGCCGGCTCTGCAGCTACCGGACGCTGCGCGAGGACTCGCTGCTCAACCACATCGAGAAGGACCACATCACGGCGCAGGTGCCCCCAGGCCGGGGCGTAGAGCCGACATCCGGGGGTGAGTTCCCGTGCGAGGTGTGTGGCCAGGCCTTCAGCCAGACCTGGTTCCTGAAGGCACACATGAAGAAGCACCGCGGTTCCTTCGACCACGGCTGCCACATATGTGGGCGCCGCTTCAAGGAGCCCTGGTTTCTTAAGAACCACCTGAAGGCGCATGGCCCCAAGGCAGCCAGCCGCAACCGGCACCCGCGCAGCGAGCTGGAGCCCGTGGCCACCATCAACGACGTAGTGCAAGAGGAGACGATTGTCAGTGGCCTGTCCCTCTACGAGGTCTGCACCAAGTGCGGGAACCTCTTCACCAACCTGGCTAGTCTGAGCGCGCACCATGCGGTGCACCGACGCGCTGACGCGGGCTCAGATCCAGGCCCTGCCGACGCACAGCAGCGTTTCCTGAGCAGCCTGAGTCTGCGGCCTGCGGGCCCAGGCGACACTCAGGGTGCTACAGGGCGCCGGGTGGCCGAGCTAGACCCTGTCAGTAGCTACCAGGCCTGGCAGCTGGCCACGCGCGGCAGGGTGGCGGAACCGGCCGAAACACTGAAGATGGGTGGCGCGGAAGAGGTGGCAGGCGGTGCTGAGGCAGTGGGGGAACGTTCGCGCCGCGACTGGGCACTGGCCAGCCCCGACCGACGAAAGCGCGAGCCCCCCGCAACCCCCGCACCCGGCCCCCCACGCAAGCGGCCCAGTGGCCCCGGGGAACCCAGCGCCTCGTCTGTGCCGCCGGGTGACCTGGACTACCGACCAGCTTCACGCCAGGCCCGGCGCGCTGCCTCGGCTCCCGGCGGCGGCAGCGGCAAGTCGTCCGAGTGCTTCGAGTGCGGCAAGGTGTTCCGCACCTACCACCAGATGGTGCTGCACTCGCGAGTGCATCGCCGCGCCGCACGCCGCCTCCCCAGGCCACCTGCCCGCAACCGCTGTGGCTCTCTCAGTGACTCGGCCAGCGGGCCCAGCAGCCCCGGCTCGGCCAGCGCCAACGATGACTCCCCCGGCTCCGGCCTGGCCGATGAGGCGGCTGATGATAGCGGTGATGACGGCACGCCCGAGTCCGCACCAGGTGAGCCCGAGTCCCCGTGACACAGCCACAGGTCATCCCCTGGCCCTGTGCCTGGGTCATGTTGGGCCCTGATAGTCCCATGCCCATGTACCATCATCCAGGTAGCGCCCGTAGTCCTGTGCCCAAGTAGGCCCATGCCCACGCACTGCTCATCTAAGTACCCAGCTTCTAGTCCCAGTGGCCCCACACCTGGGTGACGTCAGGCCCAGGTAGTCCAATATCCACACGCCCCTAAGCCAGCTGCCAGCACACAGGTAGTAGCCTTCTTCCCTAATGATCCTGTGGGGCTGTGCCAGGTAGATCCACGTCCCACATTCAGGTAGCCCTGCACTTCTGCCTCCCTTCCTTGCCAAGTGGTGCCGTGCCAGGCAGCCCTACGCCCTGGTGGCCCTGTGCTTGAGCTCTGGCTGCCGGGCAGTGTCCTTCCAGATCATCCTGCTAATTAGCTACACCTGTTGCCATAAATTAGGCACCCTATCCCCCATTGATCTTAAGCAGAGTCTGCCCTGAACACGCTTACTTTCAGCAAAGACCACGTGGTCCCCGCCCAGGTCTGCCCCTATTTGGGGTTCTGGTCCTTCTACACATGGCAAGTGGGGGGCAGTACCTTTTGTTTATGCTCACTTTAGTAAATCTAGTTGGATTCAGGTAACCCCGGCTCTTTCGAGATGAAATCGAACATCTTCCAAATAGCAGACAGACATGTGTTTGGAAAAGCTGGCTACCTTTATCATTTAACTAGTTTTGTCTTGTTTCCTTAATTAAAAAAATTGTTTCATGAATTTTTGCTTTGAGTAGTTCTTGTAAGTATAAGATGATGTTTCAGTTTGGAAGCTTCGAGCTTTCTGCTCAGAGCTAGTCACCCACGGCCATAGAGTTCATTCCGACTCTCAGTGACTCTATATAGGGTTTCTCAGACTGTAAGCCATTACCAGAGCAAATATTCTCATCTTTCTCCTGTGGAGTTGCTGGTGAGTTTGAACCTCTGACGTTTCAGTTGACATTGTACCACCAGGGCTCCCTGTGTAGTAAATAGTCTGTTGTTCTTAAGAGCCACTGAGTTGGTTCCTACTCACAGCGACCCTGTTTAGGGTTTCTAAGGATCGGCTGGTGGGTTTGAACCCCCAACATCGGGGTTAGCAGTCCAGTGCTTATCCTACAGCGCCACACCATTGTGTAATAGTCTGCAGTCCTGGTGTTGCGCCGAAGGATAAGCTCTGGACGGCAAGGTCGGTTTGAGTTTTAAGGTCGGTGGTTCAAAATCACCAGCTGCTCGGAAACCGTAGACAGCGTCGCTGTGAGTTGGAACTTAACTACTACAACAGGTTCATACACCTTCTGGACCATCAACAATGTTTCTGAAACCCCTAGAGAACCCCATGCTGACTCTGCACGTCCAATGTGAAGGACATCTGGCAGATGGGGCGCGTCACCCCATTCTGAGCTGCTTATTTCACTGTGAGTCGTGGGGAGAGGGGCAGGACATGCAGGGTTCAGGCCCTGAACGCTAAAGGCTTGTGGTGTGAAACCTGAGGGGCTAGCTGACCCTGTGAGGCATTTATGAAATTTTAATTCTCGGGTTTCTTTTTACAGTGCTTGAATTGATGTTGCAGTTAGCAAAACCATGTCTATTTGGTGGTAGTGGTTGTGCCGGCTCTGTCTAGGGTTTCTGAGGCTACAAATCTTTATGGGAGCAGAAAGCCTCATGTTTCTCCCAAGCTGCACCTGGTGGGTTTGAATTGCTGACCTTGGCAGTTAGCAGCCTCAGAGTTCCTTAAAATATCAGGAGAGCTCTGAATGTCCTCCTTCCCATGTAATACTCTGAGGACTCTAATATTTGGAAAGCTTCTCCCTTCCGTCCATGATTTGTTGTTAAGTGCCGTCGAATTGGCTCCAACTCATGGTTACCCTGTGTAGTGTTTCGGAGGAGCAGCTGCTGGGTTTGAACTGCCAGACTTTGTGGTTCTCAGCCCAGTGCTGATCCTACAGCACAACACCCATAGAAGGTTACACATATGCGCCTCACGTGGTACTTCTGAAAGCAAGAAATCGGGAAGATCAAGTTATTTTCCCTATCAACGGTTTACTTTTCCCGTGGTTCATTAATGTTAGGGATTGTCATTGATTTAAGGATCCCTGGTGGTGAACTGGGTTAAGCACCAGGCCGATAAGTGTGAGGTCATCGGTTCAAGCCTGCCTGACAGTCCTGAGCGGCAAAGATGAGGCTGTCTGCTCTCAGAAAGATTTGCAGCCTGATAAACCATCAGTAGCAGTTTTTCTCTGTCCTGTAGCGTTGCTGTGAGTCCAGGTCTCCCAAGTCGTTTGGTTGCATTATCAGTAGCTCGCTTCTTTGGGAAGATTACATGTAACAGGAGGCTTAAAAGCTGTTTGTGGGAAAATTCCATTCTCTTTCAGTTCTCTTTTTCCATGAACGTTTTGAAGCCCCTCGTATTTTCTCTGTACCTACGATTTGAGCAGCTGCATGTACACTTCAGGTGCCTCTGTTGCAGGATTTCACACTGTAACTGAAGTGAGCGCAAAAGTGACCATAGAATAAGTAGAATGTTGCAGCTTCTGGGTAAACCAGAGGAAGGCATTTCTGGCATGTCATTGGAGAGCTGCGTGGGTCTATGGGGTCACTTTGTAATCTTAAAGACAACACACGAGCCTTTGAATGATCCCAGCGCCTGCAAAGGCCCCGCGTCGAGTTAGTTTGCTGATTCATGGCTCTGCTTAAGCAGAGAAATGCATGCTGTGCCCAGTTAGTCCCTCTGAGCACACTCCCATGTGTAGAATTTGCCAAGGCCTTTGAAGCAACTTCTTTGGAAAAGAAACTGGGTCTTTGAAATCCTGCATTCTTATCTGTAGCTGCCTTTCTTTTAAAAATGTACACACTACTTTGGAAGATACTTGCCCTTCCTGTTACTGGAACAAATTAACTTAGGTCTTTAAACATTTGCTATTTTAAATTCTCACAGAGTTTTGCTGAAGTGTGATTTGTTTCGGTTGTTAGCACACCTCCGTAGATACTGAGGGTCGGGTGAGAAAAGCAGTTCTGGTAATAAAGAATCGGATACCTTGTATGGCACACGTGTGATCGGGATCGGATCTTCCTGGCCCTTGCAGTCAGTGGTCCATATATGTGCTGTAATGTCACTGAAACTTTTTGTGACACCCACAAGGTGGATTGAGGGCTTTTGGGGGATCTGAGTAATGAACACTAATTTTTTTTTTTTAATGTTTTATTGTGAATTATGTGATAGTTTACATGGTAGAACATCAGTCTTACATTCATTTTATCGTACATTGTCTCATTGCCATGGTTACAATCCCCTCCATGCAATCCTTCCCCCGTACCCTCCAGGTCTTCAGCACACAGGCGCTCTCCCTCTCTGGATCTAAATTTTCCAGCTGCTCCATCGCTCCACATCATCATCTCTGGCTCCATTTCAGGCATCACTGCTTCTCTGGGTAGGGTCCCACTCTCTGCTCTTCTCCCTTGATGGTCCTAGGGACCTCCGCTCCTAGACTGAAAAGTT